TCGAGATTCTTCTTCGCTGCGTTTCCTTTGTATAATTGGGTCGCGTTGGTTGGCAGCGAAAATAAGCGGCAACAAACGCCTCTCTTCTCTCGTACTTCCTTCTTTTATATATGCCACAGAGTTACGATCTGACGGCTCAGATTTTGCGTTCCACTCCGTTTCCAAATATTATCGAGTGACGTGTATGTTTTTACCTCTATTATTTAATTTTTTCATAAAATTATTAATTTATTATTACTACCTGCTAAATTATCTATAAAAAAACAAAAAAAAAGGACCTAATACTTTAATTTGATTAATTTCTGAACTTTTTATTTGTGAGAAGTGGAGTTTTAAATTTATTATTTATATAGTGTTCGATAAATTTATTCGAACAATGATTAAAATTAATATAATTAAAAATAGCTAGGTGTGAATAAATTTATCGCAAATACGAGTCCCTAATTAGGAAAGGAATCTCACATTCAATCAGGCCGAAGTCGATGATGGGGAATTTTTTTTTTTCAATTTTAAAAAAGCAAATTGTGTTATGTTTCCTCTTATAGCATAAAAATAGCTTCCATTTACATTGCAAAATTTCTAAAATAAAATATGAGAAAAAATGTTGCAGCTAATTCAAATGCAATTGAATAATATTTAGACAAAAAAGATGTTTAGAATTAAATTTCACTTTCATCTATTCAATGTTGTCAAATATAGTATTCTAATTTATATTGATCAATAATTTTCCCTTTTGATCTCTAAATCCTACTTAAAAATAGCCAAACCACTTATGTGAAAATAATCCCACTTTTTTAAAATAAATTAATCCAATTATTATATCATGAATTGCAATGGACAATTTTAGAGCTACGTCTATGATTTTAGATGGCCATAAAATCTGACTTGAAAGCGTCATTTGCGCAAGATCACACTAATGGTATTTTATCTTTCATAAACTAATCCACTTGTCGAATCCAATTCTATTTTAATGTTCCATATTCTATGAATCCTAAGCTCACAAATTTAAACCATCTTTGCATCTCATAGTTTATAAATAAAGTTTTCCAAAGTAAACGACTTTGAAAATCACATTTATCTAGTTCATGCTGAGACAAAATCGTACATCTACACAATTCTACTCTCCAAGAATTCCGAATCATTCTCTAAAAGCTGTCTCTTTGATCTATAAACCATCTTTTCAAATGCCTATTAATCCCATATAAGCTCGCAACTTACATTTTCATAATATTTACTTGAACTGTTATCTTTGCTAAATAACGGATGGCTATGTGGGAAAAGCCGCACATCTATACAAAGCTATAACTATTTCTCAAATTTCTTCTGAAAGAAAAGGAAATATCAGAGAATGATGGATCTTTTGACGGAAACTTGAGATCTCTACATGTTTTAGATTCTACAGATGGCAAAAAGGTTCACCTTCAAGGCACAGTCCTCAGAAATTCTCACTCTGCAACAATCCAGGGTAGACAAACGACAATATCTGTTTCAAGGATTTAACTGATTGTTTCAAGAATGCATGCCCCTCCACACCTGTATTTAATGTGGTCAAGACTCAGAGAGAAGAGTTTGCAAAGTAGAAAATGAAAACAGCATTTGGAGCACCTGCATGATGTCTATAATAGATTATAGATTTTACCTTTCAATAATAATTTGACTTCCTTTGAGAAGTCCTCCACTCGGCCTAATACTGGTCTTATGCCACAAATCTGCACAACACAGAGTTCCAAGTACAGCGTCATCTCCATGATTCGCAACATCAAACAGCAGAAATTTTGGACTTCAGTATCAATATGCTTCGATTTGTTGAGATCACAGAGGTCGCAAATGATCGCCATTGCTTGATCCTGCATTAAAAAACCGTTTAGAAAGTTATTTTCTAATTTTTATCTTACAACTCCAAGATCTCGGCAATCGCCAACGTTTTCCAAGTGGCTAACAAAGTATGGATACACAAAACTCAAGTTCAAATCACAATAAAACCAATGTCAAAGTATAATAATAGGCCTTTGCAGTGATAACGGCATACCTGCAATCCATGTAAAATTTCAGGCATTGGAAGTTCTGGAAAATGTGCAAGGTCAACATAACCCACATCCTCGGCCTTTTGAGCAGCACCCTCAGCTTGCAAACATAAAAACTTCAAAAGAAGAAATGTAATTGTATAGATACGCAAGGCCAGAGTATCAGAGAAGTATGTTGGACAAACTGAATCTGTAATTTCGGTGGTTCGACCACTGACTATCAGAGACGTGGTTGAGGGAGCAGTGAACTCAGGTTTTGATTCACAAGCAAGAGGTGAAAGAGCAAACCATCCACTTTTGCTGCGGATAAATGACGGTTTCGTGCAGTAATCAAACTCCTCTTTGAGGTTTGGAGGACATATGAAAGGAGCAACCTTGGCAGGAGATTCTCCATGGCGATGAGTTACTCGACTAACAAAGGCTAACATATGAATGCATTTCTCACGTAGTTGTGAATCAATTTCTTTTGTTGCCTTTGCCCAAGCATTCCTATGTCTCGCTAGCACGCACATCAGCATGAGAGTTTGCTCTGTATCTCTCAGAGCACTGAGAGAAGTTCTAGTCCTTTGAGTCCGTGACCTTTTCTTGTCATGCTCATCAGGAGAGAAGTCTGGTGCATTGAGATGGTAGGAGATCATAAAAACTTTCTCCGAAAAAAAGTAGGTTATCACATTATCAAACACATCTAGATAAGAGCCATCTCCTAAAGATTGCACTATACCAGTGATAACAGCTAATCCAAGTTTCCAAATCAGTTGGTGGTAATTTTGAGCTCTATCATCTGAGGTTAAGTTATTTCTATTATAGTTGAATTGCAAGCAGGTTTTATCATCCGTACATTGTGTAAACAATAGCTGAAGATATGACAAGAGACCAGATGTTATGAGCATAATAGCACCTCCCCTAACACGAGCAAGGGTCAAGAAAAACTTCATTAATATAGGAATAGAAGAAATATTATTTTCATCTTGAAGCTTCAGAAAAAGATGTTGCAGCTGGAGATGCTTCTGTAGGACAGAAAGCCATGTCTCAGAGGACAAAAATTTTCTTAGTATTAAGTCCAGAGTAGTCAAAGCCAGGGTGCAGTGCTCAGCATTTGTGATGAAGCTACATAATATAGGTAGAAGCCCCAACATAACATTAGAACATTCAGCAAAATCTTTGACATATTCAGGGTTACTTTCCCCATCTGAACATGAATTAAGATCATGATATTCCACAGAAGAAAGAAGCAACTTCAGTAAGAGCTTAATTGTCTTATGAGCTCCAGCAACTGGTTGGATGGAACTTAACTGTTTAAGACCAGAGCCTGAGGTTTTTAAAATAAGAGCACAAACAGATAGAGGCACAGTTTTATCTGCAGATCTGATGAGGAGAGTTAGCAATTCTGATTGGGCAGCAAGAAAACCCAGGACACAATCGGAGGCACCCAAAGCAAATGCTAATGATTCAATGGTCACCTGGAGATAACGACATACGTCTGCAATGCAATACCTAACAAGATGATCAGTGTTCTTTTTTTTAATTGATGCCTCTTTCTCCAATGTCTGCAAGAATGTAGATGTGGTGTACAAATTAGCAAATGATCAAAGTGAATTTTTTTTATCTGAATAAAGAAATAAAAAAATAAAAGGTTATAACAGAAATGAATTTGAGGCAGAAGTAAAGTCTTGAGGAGGATCGAATAAAACAAGAACACAATGGAGATGAAATGAGGGAGGCAAATTGTAACCTTGCAAACCTATTCTTGGATGTCAAAGGTGCGTAAACGTCATATTAAACATATAATAAAATTTAAAAAACAAAATTGTAGCACTTAGTATTAGTATCTAGCAAAAAAATTTGAATAATAAGCAATGTTCTGAGTTCGATCAGAACTCTAGTTTAACCAATTTTTATTATTATTATTTGTCTTCAAGTTTGATTTATCATTGACAACAAAAATCTGCTAGAACGCTTGAAACTTACATCATCGGCAATTACAGTTAAGATGGTTGTCAATGCTTTCAAAGCAGTAAGCTTTGATCTAGTGACCATCATCATTGAGTTTACATCCTGCATGCAACTAAGCATTCTTGCTGCAATTGTCTTAGATTCTTTCCATTCTGAATAATCCCATAGATCCAATCCCAAATCTGCCTGTATATGCACGAGGTTAAACAAGCATGCATCTTTAGTGGTCACAAAAATGTCATCTTCATAGTTATGTTGGTAAGATTGGAACATTTCTGACTCAATAAGGTACAGGGAAAGTTCTCTGAAAGCTCCAGAGCCAATTTTACGGCCTTCAAGCTCTCCCTGAAGATGATAATAAAGATCGCTCAATATCAAACTGTTCATTTCATCACCTCCACTGCAAAAGACAGAGTAAATAATTATAAATAAAACGAATGAAAATTAAAGAGATCAACAAGATACGCGTTTTATGAAATAAATGCTAGATCCTCAAAATTAAACAGAGGGTCTTCTTTTTCTCTCCCTAGAGTTGACCCCCTTTCTTGGTTAAATCTCCTCTTCTGAAGGTTGGTCCCCTTGCTGGTTAAAATCTCCCATCCACACAGTATCTTTTGGATTTAAAAGCTTTCAAACAACCGTGACTCCATCGTCAAAAGCCACTTCCGTCACTTCATCTCGACAACCCTCCCAGCTACCTGTCCCAAGTGATAAAAAAATTCTTCCTCTAGGATTTAAGAAAAGAAAAGGCTACTGTTTTGGATGGTGAAGAACGGAGTTTTGTAACTAGGAAATCATACAATGTATACAGAGGAACCCTCGCTATCATTGGCACCGGATGCTTTCGGTGTTTCAGGAAGACATCCCTCCCACTTTCTCCATTAACCCTCTTCATCCTGGTCTCCATGGAAAAATCTTCTGCATCCCATCCTATTCCGGTTGGATAACAGTGAAGAACATCATTCTTGGATAATGGAAATCTTGCCTCTTTGAAACCTATACATGATATTTGTGGTGGCTTCTTGACCAACCTGCCCTACCAATCTGAAAACTTTAAAGAAGTGAGAGTCAATAGAGGTTGCTATCAAAGTTAAAGACAACTATTGTGATTTCCCACTTGCGGAGATGGCGGTGTTGTTGGAGTCTAGTGAACCCAAGATGGAAAGGCGGTGGCTTACTCCCATACCCACTGGTAGTCGTAGAAACCCAAAGTCCAAGATCTTTTTTCAGAATAGGCAGCAATAACTTTTGACGAGCTATTAACATGTAGCGGAAATTTAATTAAACCTATCATAACCAAGCTGTAAGCCTGTGACCACTCCTCATCATATTTAGGAAAGGTCAAGATAGCAGCCGAGAGCAAAAATAAACAGCCAACAAACTTCTAGTACAAAGAAAGGATGGAATGATGAGAGATAAAGGGTAATTACAAAAATACATAGTAGTTTAGTAGTTTGGGTTGAGTGGTGGTTTATTCATCTTTAACATGGTATTAGAATGGTATTAGAACGGGAGGTCTTGTGTTCGAACACCTGCTTCCTTGTTTCCTTCCATTTATAATGATTGAGGGGAGTCTTGAGAATCTATATATATGAATTAAATTTACCCAACTCATCAGTTTAAGCTTTTAAGTTGAGTGTGGTTTATTAATTCTTAACATGGATAATTATTTAGAAGGCTATTTAAAAACAAAAAAGCATTACTCTACCTGTAACCACGCTGTAAATATTGTGTAGATAATTCTGCAAAAGCAGGCAAACTGATAAGCTGCAAAAGAAATCACTGCAATTAGAAACTGATATGAAAAGTAGACTTTGCTGCAAAAAGTTTAATGTATCAAATGACATGAGCACTTAGAAGACCTTAATACGAGGAAGGACAGTGAGAGAACTATTCAACCTTTTTCAACATGTCATGGATCTTCCCAACCAATGAGACTGACAAGCTTCCCCCGTCACCAGTTGCTAATTTTGACATCACATGCACAGTGAATAAACTGGAAGCAACCTATTATGAAGTACGTGACTTATTAAGCTCAAAAAGACAAATACAGAAAATAGTTCAGAGCAAAATATATCAATTTGTCAAGGTAGCTTTATACAAGACCTCTATCGAACTGACCATAAAAGCCCTCAGGTCAAAAAGTTATATGCAAGACAAAGTCCAGCAAGAAAAAAAGAAGCATCAAGAACAAACCGAAATCAGGATTTAGAGCACAGAAGATAGAAATTACCATACTTTCTTAAAAACAGAAAATTGAAAGAAGGAAAAATTAAACCAAATGAAAACCACCTTCGCACGGTAATATGTTTCATTATCATATTCACAAGAAGCAAGCAGCTTGGTCAGCTTGCCTAAAAGAGCACCATTACATGCAGATGATAACATATTCTTAACATCAGAGAGACTCGCTGAGGATTTTGAATTCTCATTGCCCACTGAAACTGTGGCTTTGTCCTTTGATCCAGACTGTTGTTTTACAATTGACTCGGCGTGTAACAACTTCTTTTGCAGAAATATATCATACGACATTATTTCCACCATTGATGAGAGAGAGAGAAATTTGTAAGCAGAGTTTAGAGCCTTCATCTCAGTAATATTTTTGGCGGCACAAGCTTCTTCAGAAACAAAGTGAGAAACACCGTCGGTCAATTGTTCCAAAAACTTCTCGGACATTTTTATCCTATCCAAAATCATTATGAATGGACCAGCTGTTTGCCACAGAGCCTTCATAAAGTTGAGAACATTTAGCTGTATCCTAAGATTGCTGAAGATCAAAAATAGCAAACCCCTTTAACGTTGATACAATATAAGCAATCTAGCACCCATCAAAAAAACAGACAACCCCCCAGTATAAAGTTTACAAATAAAAAGTTTAATTATTTGAAAATCGGGAGAAATAAATTTAGGCAATGAACCTTTTGGCATGATTATTAGCTTCCTTTAGATATTGTAAAAGCGCGTCAATCAAACTTGATTTCTCCATTCCTGATGAGCCCAGCAAAGATTCTTTAGTTTGATGATTTACACCACCACTGAAATTTGGTTGGACATTCAAATTCTCCTTGCTAGCTAATAGAGCAACGAGAAAAGAAGGCTGTATGGAGGAAGCATGAAGAAAACAAATACCAAGTCAGAATAATGCCACATAGGTATTAGGTATCGACAATTAAGATGGTCTAAAAAGTTCCAATTCGATTATGTGCGCATCAAGAGAGGTCAACTGACTTAAAATATAGAATTTCTACCCATAAAACCTTCCGACCAACACTGCTTACAAAGGATACTTTATAATTCATCCGCATCTTTAAACTTACTTGCAATTTTCATCATGGGACAATGGTCTACGGCTCTCCCCAATGTTCCAACTTCTCCTCTCTCACTCACTCTTTTGGGACAGCCGTTTAAAAAGGAAACGAAGCATCTTTGACAACATTTTAAAAGGCATTC